ATACTAAATTAGATTGAATCATTTCTGCAAGAAATAAGCATTTAGAGATCAATTACATTGCAACATACACTTAGAGGGTGTATTCATTTCGGATTTCTAAAGACTTTTTAAAAAGTCTTGGGTATTCATTTGGGATTTTAAAAAATCTTACAAAGTTTGAGACTAGAATTTGTTAAGACTTTTTAAAATTTGCTGGGATTTCTAAGAAAAAACCTTATTCAAAATCCCACCTCCTGACTTAAAATTTCACAGGATTCCTCCAAAATCATAACATTTTAAAAAATCCCAAATCTCAAGAAGTCTCAAAATATCACTCGAAATCCCAAATATTCTCATGAAGAAGTTATGACAGAAAGCCTTTGAAACAACTTACTGCTCGTCAACATTTGGGTGGAAGATCTTATTGACAAACACAATGGAAGGAGACTTGTAAGGATACGCATCCGGAAGGTCCACACGAACTTTCCAAAATCCACCTTCATAGGGACCTACAAACAATCTTATGAAGCATGGAAGTTTGAAGAATGTATTGCCATTTGCAACATAAGGCAATGAAATGGCGCAATTTCCATGGTAGCAATGGATTGTGCAGAAACAGCAAAATTTCATATTGAGCAATATCAGAGCCTTCTGGGAGCACAACATCATTTTAAAGAAAATGGAGGACTAAAATATAAATTAGACAAAAGAAGCTATATGATAGAATCACCATTCACCATTGCTGTCTAAAGAACTGAAAACAATCCAGAAAGTTAAAAAGTTGCAATGACTGCTTACAGCACATTTACCATTCAAATTAGTTCGGCAAGAAGCAAATAAAACAAACAAATAAAATAAAATACCACTACTGAACTAGGCAACTAGAGAGGAAAAATTACATCGAATGAACAAAATTCAAGGAAAAAAAGAAAGTGATAACTGATAACATTACTTTCTTTTGGGCCATGAAATTCCACATTGAACTTGTTGATGCCATCTTCAATGGGCTCCACGGAGTAGTCGCTCATCATTCTACAAATAAATGAAGGGTAGTATGAGAGGCTCATAACAAATGCAATATGTTAAGGAATCTAATTCCGATAAATAAATTGGCGAATATAATATGAAAGAACCATTGATTTAGGCTCACAGTTTCATGACATCCATATCTCGCCTCTTGCTTGGTGATGACATTTTGTCAAAAGAGCAAACCTTATATGGTCTAAAAAGGAGCAGAAAAGAAGAAAAAGAAAAAAGTCAAAAAAAAAAAAAAAAAAATTAAACAAACCCAAA